ACACATTTGTACATGCAGAGACACAAAATAAACACTCATGCTAGGAGCCCACCATTATCTGGACAACATGCTTGTTTATAGGGACACCAAGAGCTATACCTCCCACCAAGGGAATCAAATTGGAGGAGAGGACTGAGACTTGCACACGAATCATAATGCACTTGAAATAGAGATTTGAAGCAGTTTGGAAAAGATATAAAGTACAGAAGATGAAAGTTTAACTATGTCTGGAGTGAGCCCACAAAAACTCCCTACAGTGGTGACATCTAAACATGGCTTAGAACAATATAAGTACTCACTTTGAGAACAGGAGATGGGTTTGCATCCTTTTCAGTTATCACTAATTTCATACAGTGTAACAACTCTGAGAACCATGTGAGCCAAAAATAAGAAAATTCTTCAATATGTATTTATTGAATTTACCATATGGTACTGTGGTTGGTCACATGAGAGCTAAAAAGAGGAATTTACATAGTCCTTATCTTGAAAACATTTTGGCCCAGAAAAGGGGATAATGAAATTATACAAAATAAATACTGTATAAGACATCATGTGAGCAGTGCCACAGAGTAATACAAGTATACCAAAAACAAAGGCATTATAAACTACATTAGAGGTGAAGGCTACACTGAGAGAATTTTATATTTGAAGGATTTTAAAGGATAGAGAGGATTTTGAAAAATAGCAATTACTGAGAAATGGAGAGAATACTTTTCTAGCAGGAGGACCAAGCAGAAGAAAGTGTCAGATTTGAGGAGAAACCAACAGTTCATTTGACTAAAGTACTGTCTAGCAATTGGACAAAGCCATTTTAAATTTAGATTGAGGTCATCTGGCTCAATCCCAGGCTAAGGCAAATGATCATTCTTCAAGGGGCAAAGGTTTAGAGGGCCAATATGTGAAGGTTTAGAAATACAAGACTGACATACAAGAATAGCATTTTAAAAAATAGAATGCTTTTGGAGTGAAGCAAGGAAAATTGGTTAATAACTCATGGCTAACACACTAGAAGAGTTTAGGCATGAAATAAAAGGACAGAGTTTATAGTTACCATAGTAGGAAAAGACAGAAAAAATAAAAACATGGCAAGGTATGGATTTGAAAGTCATCCAAAAATAAGCACTCTCAATTTAAGAGTTTTACCATAAAAAATATTACAGCAAACTGGCTAATGCAACCACCTACTATCTATTTCTAGATACCCATTCTAAACTATTTCTCCTTCCTACAGCCAATCTATGACACTCTTGAAATCACTTTCCTGTGAAAAATATCTTTGGATTTGCAGTCTGAAGCTCAGACTTTGTTCTTGCCTCTGCCAATCACTCAGAGAATGACCTTAGAGAAATCATGACCTTGCTGACCCTGGTTTGCTTTTGAGCACTCTGCAGGGATAGATAATGCAGGACATAACTAACCAAAATGATGGCCAAAAAAAAAAAAAGCCAAGTACCTTGGCATTTCTACATCAATACAGAGTTGTTCAGCAGAGTGGAAAGGTGGATCCCATCCCAAGCAGAGCAGACAGCCAGAGTCACTTGACTGGAAGCCAAAGCAAATGCCACCCAAAAACATGTTGTTTTTTAATATCACAATGCTTCCATCTCTCTCAGTGTTTCAAGTTTCTCTTTTGAATCAATTTCATAGCAGTTAGGGTCCTTTACAGTTTTAGTCAGAATCTTTAATTTTCACATTCCACAGCTCTCCTTTCCTACCCAAATGTGAGCAAAACAATTTCCAGGGTGAAAAGTCTTTAATTCATGATGAAATGTCCACTGGCATCATTAGATTTGTGACAAATGACTGGCACCTATTCTATATCTATCAATTCAAAAGAATGTTTTCAAATAGGCAATTTCAAAAGTGATGAAAACTTATTTTTATATACTCAACTCTTATTTTAAGAGGCAAATCTTAATATACCTTAATGTTCTAATATTTTCTATAGAGAATAGAGAAATTAAAAATTCCTATATTTTATCATTCCTAAACTTATGGAATTCTAAATTCTGGATTTTATAAACAAGAAAACAATGAGCAAAAAATAGGAGGTATCCACCTCCAAAGATACATAGCAAACCTGGCCAACCATACATCAAAATGAAGAATTTATTCACACATCTTTTTTTTTCAGAATAAAAGTATATTAGTCAACATCTACATCTAGCCTTTTGGTAAACTAAATCAATACCAAAACCTCTCCCAGTATAGAACATCTAAAAATGCTCAACAAAACACAGAAAATATATTTTAAAGCCTGTGGTTTATCTGCCAGAAAGAAGAACTACCTGATATGAAAAACAATAGTAACAAGAAGGAAAAAATCTACAGTCAATAAGCCCTGGAGCCTGGGACAGCCCAAAGAGACTATACCAATCCTTGGGGACTTAAAGCCTGAATTAGAATGACCATCTGAACTCCAGGAACAGGAGACTAATCCTAGGGCTAAGAGGGAGAGGGTATTGATGAGGGACACTGCCCAAAATAAAACTAGGACACTCTAAACACAGCATACTCAGTTGACCAATTAGAAAAAAAAAATACTCTTCAGAGAAAGACAGTGGAAACACATGTCTTTTGGCCCCGCCACTAGTTATAATGCCAATAGAAAAAAAAAAAGAATCTCCAAGGATATTCCTAACCACAAACCTGAAATTGGGCTTAGAGCTGGAATTCACATTATCTCTGTGTCCTGGAAAATTCAAAGCCAAAAATGTAGCTTAAAGTGATCCTAGGCCTTTTATGAATTAGTCTTCGTCTTCCTCTCACACACAAAAAATATATATACAGCTAAGGTAGATATATAGATGACAGATATATATAAAATATATATACAGCTGTATATAAAATATATATACAGCTATAGGTAGATATATAGATGACAGATAGACAATATCAAATCTATATCTCATTAAGCTTTTATCTCTAATGACCAATTTAAAAGAAGTGGAGAGGACAAAAGAACATGCTAAATGACACCACAGGGAAGCAACTGCCAAGATCTAGACTATGGCAAATTTTTCAGTACAAATGTGGCAAATATTATTGCCCAAAAATGGCTGGAAAAATACTTCCTATCTCACATAGTTTTCTACAATGTGACCATGTCATCTCCATCAAAAGGAGGATTTTTTTTTCACCACCTTGAATGGAGGCTGCCCCCGTGAATACTTTGAGCAACTGACTATGGCAAAGTAAATAAGAAAGGCTGTGGCAGTTGCAAGCAAGTATTACATTAAATGGCCTGGCATCTTCTGCTTCCTAATTCTTGGAAGTCAGCTGCCACGTAACAAGTACAAGTAATCCAATATCAACATGTTGTGAAAAAGCTCAACAATCTTAGAACTAAGACACATGTCTCAAAGCAGTACGATATCTACCAATGGTGGCAGTGGACAGTGGGGGGCTGAAATTGGACTTATATTATTATTTTAATGTAAGTTTCCATTGAATTCTCAACATTGTCTTTGATTATAATGAAAACCAGTACTTTCCTTTTGTACCAGTGATGCTGTGGAGATGTTTGTCCTTCAGTGAAAGTCCATTTCTTTACTCCCTACATCAGGTGGGAGCATACATCACTTATGCCCACACTTCCATGAAAAGTCTTCTATTGAAGTCCAGTTATTCTTCATTCTGCCCTTCCATGTCACTAAATATGCTCACCTCCAGGGCAGATATATACCTTCCTTTATGATTTTAGCAACTCTTCCATGATCATCTTCTCTACCATACTCTGTACTATCTTCCAGTGATATCAATATTGATGCAGGTAGTATTTCAGCACCCTGGACTTACATTACCCCAATGTCTAAGCTTTGATGGCCATCATCTTCAATATGCATTGGAGCTAGTCACACACTAAGGACCAGGTCATCATGCTTGGCCTTCTCTCCACCCAAATTCAAAATGTAAACATTTCCTCTTTGACCAAGGCTTTTCGTTTTCTTCTTTTCCTGGTCTCACCATGATTCATTGCCCTCTAAATTCTTCCTACTTGGACAGTTTATCAGAGTCTTCTTTATCTCTCTCATTCCTCTGCCTGGCAGGTTTCTATAGTCAAACAATTCTTCATATTTCCTCAATGAGTAGGCTACACCTACTCTGCTAGACTTCTTTCTAAGTAATTTCCTCTCCTGCTTCTAGGTATCTGATTCTAATGCATTTTCATGTTCCCATTATATGGTGGCTATGAAAAGTTAATGGATTACATATATAATATAAAGTACTTAGAACAAGTCCTGGCTTATAGAAGCCATCCACTAAAATATTGCTCTTATTATTTTTATTATTCATATCTTATTTCTCCATAAGATATTTTAAACATTCTTTGTGACCTCCTCTCCCAATCAAAAAAAAATCTCTAGAGCTGGAGAAACATTCTATAAAGTAAGGGCATTTTAGGCAGCTCTCTTGAGAGATATCCCAGACTACTGAAGCATTTTCTTTAGGCTATGACAAAGTTAATAACTAATTTTTTTAAAACCCAAAATGTACAAAATATAGATTTTTCTCCATATTTTATGATCAGTGGCATACTGAGGCATTTGAAGATAAAAACAAAAATGCTTACCACCAGCTTATCACCATGAACTATCTGAATAATCTTTAAGAATAAATGAGTTAATTTAGCAGAAAGCAGGTGCTCAGTATATGTTACTTAAATCTTTGACTGTCATTGTCTTTATTAAAGACAGTTACTACATTAAAAGCAGATGTAGGATGACTGTGGCTAAGTAGCAAATTGCGTTTGTATTCTCTCTTTGGTGGTGAAAGAAACATGCTTTAAGACAATCTGTTCCATTTTAAATGAGCTCTTTCTAAAGTACTATATTGGAGATGTGTCAACATAAGGTGATCTGTGATTCTGCCGAGTCTTAAGGAACATGAGTGGTGCTATAACTCCCAATAAAGTTCTCTTGATTTTAAATCAATTTTGGTGTTTTCAAGCATCAAAAAGAAAGTAGAAGGCAATGATAACCATTATTATAGACACTCACCTTGAGTTTGTGTTCTTTCCTGTTCACAATCACAGCTGTGATTTGTTGGTCCATGAAAATCAGAATGGTGACCAACAAAGCAGGGATAGCAGCAGCAAGATACACCCACCAGGGGTTTCCTCCAAACGGTGGAACAAACCAACCTCGGTTGGGACTTGTTGGCTTGAAAAATATAAATAGCATTTTTAAGAAAATTATCGATACATACTACTTGGTGAAAAAAAATCAAGGGAGAAGAAATACTTTTATTTTTAGAAAGCCAATATATTTTTTGAAAACTAGAAATGGTTACAGGCTGAAGAATGAAGATTATTCACCTAAACCTCCCCAAAGGATGCTATTTTTGAGGCAATACTGTACTTTGAAGAAAGCAGAGAAAAAATATCTGTTGTTAGAAAGAAGGGAATACCATCTTGTGTATTTGGGATGATTTAAGATGAGGACTTAAGATGGAAGAAAGTGATTTAAGTTTAAGGAGCAGTCAGAAGAATAACCCAAATATAATATTCAGTCAAGAGGTAGCAAGAAATGACAAAATCACCATGAATTTTGTTCACAGGTTCTATCAATTATATGGAAGTAGTTTCTACTACTGCCAATGACTTCATAATATAATATGTAAAAAGTCATAAATGTTTTTATATGTTAAAATTGAACTCATGGAAACATTCTGGTCTCTTATTTTATACATGAAAAAACGATCCACAATAACTGGTCAAATCCTCAGAAATATCATCCAAAACACTAGAAAAAAATGGTCATTTTCCTAATTCTCAGTCTATTTTTCTATCAGGAGATTGTATACGTCTACTACAGATAAAAAAATTGCTCATGCTTTTCCTTAATGCAAATGAAACAAAACTAAAAAAGCATACTACCTTGGAATTATTTTCTCCAGATTTGCTGTCAAAAAAGTTGTGCTTCCCTTTTGAGTATATTTCCATCCTGTCTCAATATACTTATAACTCCATCACTCAATCTTTCCACGTTTTACTGCCACTACTAATTTGTGAGCTTATAAGGAAAAAATTTACACTTGCTCATCAATGCATTTCAGATCCCTAGAATAGAGGCTGGCACGAAGGAAACATTCAATATATATTGACTAATTCAATATATATTGAATTAGTAATTGAACAAATGAGAATTTCCCTTTGCTGATGAATATGTGATAGCAGAGACAATTCAAAAAATAACGTTTGCCCTAACACATATCCCTTCCTCGTTCAGTACTTATTCAACTAAAACTGGAGTTAGTTTAACATTTCTTAGCATATATAGCATCTCCATAGTGGAGAGAGTGAGGATTGTTCTAGAAAACAGTTTAAAGACTTGTAATAAAAAAAAAAACTAGGGATATATTTTAAAATGACAGAAATGTAAATTTTATCCATTGTACCTATACATACCAGCAGGTTCATAAAACAAATTCCTTTTTTTTTTTTGATTTGGAGTCTCACTCTGTCGCCCAGACTGGAGTGCAGTGGCCGCTCCTGGCCACTGCAGCCTCAACCTGCTGGGCTCCGGCGATCCTTCCGCCTCAGCCTTCCAAGTAGCTGGAACTACAGGCGCACGCTACCACACCCGGCTATCTTTTGATTTATTGTAGAGACGAGGTCTCACCAAGTTGCAAATTCTTATATCTTTATAAGAGTCAAAATTCACATTATATGTAAATGTGCATAGCAGGTAGTTTGTTAGTATGAAAAAGCATGGCTAGGTGTGGTGGCTCACACCTGTCATCCCAGTACTTTGGAAGGCCCAAGGGCCCAAGGGTTTGAGACCAGCCTGAGCAACTTGGTGAGACCTCATCTCTACAATAAAACAAAAAATAAGCCGGGCGTGGTAGTGCATGCCTGTAGTTCCAGCTACTTGGAAGGCTGAGGTGGAAGGATCATCTAAGTCCAACAGGTCAAGGCTGTGGTGGCTGTGAGTGTGCCACTGTACTCTAGCCTGGGACTCTGATTCAAAAAAAAACAAACAAACTTGAAATTAGGAGTCTGGAAACTCGGGTTCTAACATCATACCCTGATGCTACTAATTCCATAATCTTGGGCGTTTTGTTTACTTAATTTTTTGAACTTCAATCTCAACATTTTAAAATCAGGATGACTATAGCCACATGGCATTCCTCCTAGAATTATATGGATCAAGGTATATGAAAATATTTTGAACACTTTAAACATTTTCCAAATCATAAGGTAGAGTTTGTAATATTACTATAAGTTATTTAAAATAAAAATCCTAGTCTTGGCATTTAATTTTAATAAATGTATATAGGGACTAACAGGGACTGATTTTGAGAAAAAGAAATGAATAATTGTGAAAAACTATCTCCAAGAGATCCACAATAGACTAGAATAGGGGGAAGAAAGAAAAAAGACAGAGATTACAGGAAAGACCAAAAGATACACATTCACCTACCTTGAACTCGCTTGGCACAATTAGTTTTGGAGTGTCCACACCTACCAAGGCATCTATTACACAAAAGATGAGAATGGACAAGATAATGGCAAAATCACTGATCAGTTTTCTTGCCTGGAAAACAAACAAACAGAGAGTGTTTAGGACCATATGTATATATATCTGCCTGTGTTTGAAAGGAATGAAGAATTCTGTATTTGCTAACAGATTATAGTAACAGCTTCATCTGCAAATTGAAGGAGGTGTCACACTACAGAGAGATCACTGTTAAAATTGTTTTTGTATGTGGTACATATGCACAATGGAGTATTACACAGCCATAAAGAAGGACAAACATATGGACTTTGAAGCAACTTGGATGGATTTAGAGTCTATAATACTCAGTGATCTATCACAGGAACAAAGAACAGAGTACCACATGTTCTCACTCATAAGCAGAACCTGAACATTTATCATAAAACTATAAGAAAGGGATTGCCAGTAGCAGGATACTGCCAGGGTTTGGTGGGGGACACAACATTAATAAGGGTACCTGATCTCAAACCAGGCAAAGTGAGGACCAAAGGGAGACCCAAACCTTACCTGTATGATGTCTACTTGTATACTTAATCCTGAATTATACCCCACATTTTTAAAATAAAATATTTTAAAAACATTGTTTTTGTATTACTTTATCACCTGGTCAGACATAATCTGACCCCACAAAACAGGTTGCACTGTGTGTGTTTGGGGGGGATAGCTAAGGATAGGGAAAGGTACTCAAACAGAATATATCCCTAAAACACTGTACAAACACTCACACCAAGAGCTTCATGAAAGACAACTAGGTGAAAATGCGGACTAAGTACTATGATAAAATACACACAGAAACCAAGAATTCTATTGATTATCTGGGAGGTAGTCCTGGGAGTACAGAGTAAGATAAATCCCATAAGGTAGCTTCAAAACACCAAGAATCTAGCAGAGAAAGGCTTTCAAGTTCCAGTCCCTTGAGTGAGGTTAAAGATCAAGACCTCAAAGTAATGTCCAGTGATAAAAGACGGAAATGTGAGGGCTTCACTAGCTTTGCCATATACAAAATATTTCTCGTTCCAGTCTAGTACTTAAAGTCTCCTGCATGAGGGGCATCTCTTCTCCATGACTTTATAAGTGTGGCTGTGATTTTTTGATAACCCTTTAAATTTCTAAGTACTTGCCTCTGTCATGACAAGGTCTAGGCTATATGGGCTATAGTATTAAACCCAGACTTTTCCCATAAAGTGGGTGCAGAATGACCCATTTACAAGTTGTTAAGGAATGCATAGGCCTATTTAGTTGCTTGGAGATTGTGCTATAGTCTCTGGCGGCACTGATGAGGGCCTAAGAGCATTACTAGAACACCAAGTTTCCCATAAGATGGGTACACAGTAGAGCATAATTTAATCATTCAACAAAAATTCACTCAGCTCTTAATATTTTTCTTGCAGCTAAGGATACCACAGTAAATAAAAGAGACACAAACCATGTCTTCAGAAAGCTCATAGCCAAGTTATATATAAGTAAGCCTTCTCCTAAATAAAACCAGCGTTGATTCCAAGGTTATCAAGTTATTTCAGGGTGAGCAGTGAGTTTCCGATGCTACTGGATGAAGGAAAAGAGATCAGTGATAGACTGAGTGAATCCATAGTTCTCAGGACAGAGGATTTCCTGAAAGAGACTAGGGAGATTAGTTTCAATAGAAATCAAAGTGAGGAATGGAAATTATTTGGCAGTGTGGGTATGCTAAAGGTCTTAGTGCTCAATTCTTGACCATTCTCAGGTGTCAGGAGCCTTGGGTACTAACTAGCAGCAGGAACAAAGATGGTCTCTTGGCCAGGAGTTCCTTTCCCTCTTGTGGGGCTAGATTCTGCTAGGATTAGCTTTCTTGAGAAGTCTATACACTCAGGAACAGAACGCCAGTATGGGGCATTTTAGGCACAAGTTAAGACCAATTGCGCACAATAATTTTAAGAACAAGTAAATGGCAGGGATCAATTTGGAGAAAAAATACAGCAAAGCATTATAAAGCACATTGTTAGACGGCTGAATTCTGCTAGGGTTAGCTTTCCTGAGAAGTATACACCCAGGAATAGAAGGCCACTATATGGGACCTTTTAGGGACAAGTTAACATCAATTGTGCATAATAATTTTAAGAACAAATAGATGGCAGAGATCAATTTGGGGAGAAAATGTAATGCAGTACTTAAAAACACAGTTACTGCTAGAACTCAAGCATTATTATTTACTCCCTGTAAATGCTTATCTTTTATTATCTTTAATTACTTCATCTGCAAAATATAGCCAAAATAATACCTTCAACTTCATTTATTTGTTATAAGAATTAAATAAGAAAAACCATGAGAGTCTTTAACATAGTGCCTAGAACATCATAAACTCTCTAAATATAAGTTAACTATTGTTATTTCAAATTTCAGAAGCTCTCTTAGCTGCAGAGACCAATGGAATAACTAAATTATCTACTGTCAGGAGGTCTTTGAGAGGAACCTTCAATTCCCAAAAATAAAAGCTCAGTAATAATATGGACCTGCCACTCAAGAGCTGATTTTGGTTGGGAATATCTGGAATGACTGCAGAAAAAGAATTTTCCCCAGGAGCTCAACACTGGAGAACACTCTCATTTCTTGTTTTGGGTACACTGTGTTGACCCCGGCAAGTCAGGAAGATCTGTCAAAAGATGGTCATGTGAAGTAGTTTCAGGAGTGAGTTAGGATGTTCCAAACTGCCCCTCTGGTCCAGTAGGTCATAAATAACTGGAGGATCGGCTGGGCTCAGAGACTCAGCTTGTAATCCCAGCACTTTGGGAGGCCAAGGCAAGAGGACTGCCCGAGCCCGCAGGTTAGAAACCAGCCTGGACAACTTGGCAAGACCTCGTCTCTACAATAAATCAAAAATTAGCCAGGTGTGGTAGCGTGCTCCTGTAGTTCCGGCTACTTGGAAGGCTGAGGCGGAAGGATCACTGGAAGGATGGCCCAGCATGTCGACGCTGGGGTGGCCGTGAGGATGTCATTGCACTCCAACCTGGGCGACGGAGTGGGACTCCGACTCTAAATAAATAAATAAATTAAATAATTGGAGGCTCAGAGGTCATTGCAGAAGCAAAAAAGAAGTTAGTTCTTATTTATCAGCCTCCTATTCCTCACCTAGAAAATCCAACTTGTTGACAACACATTTATTCAACAGGTCAGGAGTCCGAAACCTCCAGGCCGTGGACCTGTAGGAGGAGTCTGTGGCCTGTTAGGAACTGGGCTGCACAGTAGTAGGTGAGTGTCATGGGACAAAGGGAGCTCCACCATCTGTCACATCAGCAGGAGCACTAGATTCTCATAGGAGCACAAACCCTACTGTGAACTACGTGTGTGAGGAATCTAGGTTGTGGGTTCCTTATGACAATCTAATGCCTGATGATCCCTCCACAACCCCCATTCATGGAAAAACTGTTTTCCACAAAACTGGTCCCTGATGCCAAAGAGGTTGGGGACTGCTGCTATAAGTTGCTCAAGAGAAAGGAAACAATTATTTTAAGGACAGTTTTCCTGTCCCCTCCTTTTTTTCATAAAAAGGAGAAGGAAAATAGAGGGCTGCAAATGAATCCAAATCTATAATTCTTTGTTCGAAATTCCCACAGGTCTTGTACCTCTGACCCTGCTGGAGGACACATCTGCTTGACTGAAATCCTACCAGGCACCCAGGTAACACTTCTTCTTTAGTTGGGAGAGGAGGCATTCTTAGCCTTCCATAGATGAACACACTGCAAAATTAACGTGGCAAACTGAATCTCATCACTGAGGGCCCACTGGTGGGGTTCCTGATTTGACCCCATTATTCCATAGTGAGATTAAGGCATAGGATTCCAAGTACCAACAAAGAGAAATTATCCAGAAAGCTCTAAATTGCTTTAAGAAATTATTTAAGGTATGAAAATATCTAAAGAAAAATGACTTTTTTTCAGACAAATATACAAATTGGATTTTGATTTGGATGTTGGCTATACAAATGTATGATCTGTGAATTATACTATGTTTTTATTTTTATATTATTATTATTTTTTTGAGTCGGAGTCTCACTCTGTCGCCCAGACTGGAGTGCAGTGGCCGCTCCCGGCCACCGCAGCCCAACCTGCTGGGCTCCGGCGATCCTTCTGCCTCAGCCTTCCGAGTAGCCGGAACTACAGGCGAGTGCTACCACGCCTGGCTGATTTTTTTATTTATTGTAGAGATGAGGTCTCGCTGCCCAGGCGGGTCTCGAACCCGAGGGCTCAGGCAATCCACTCACCTCAGCCTCCCAAAGGCACGGGATTACAGGCTGAGCCACCGAGCCCAGCGAATTATACTATGTAAATTAAAGTTCAATTTAAAATATAATCCCCACTGCTCTAAAAAAAAAATCCCCAAACTTCCAAATCCAAATCAGGGTTGTCTTTCAAATTATTCTCTTTGAGAAACTATTCCTTTATTTCAATGATGTTGCTATTGTTCCAAATAATTTTACAATTTCTCTTATAATTTTATTTCTGAACAAAGACTGTGTGATTCCCGACATTAACTGTCAAACATATATCTGAAGGATCCATAATTCTATCTTCTTTGAAATGCATTATTTTTCATGTTTCAAAATTAGTTATGTTCATTGTAGAACTTTTAGAAAAAAAAGATGAAAAAATGTTTCCCAATTCCATTACCTAGGAATTAATTTTAACATTTGCAAATACCCTTCTTTTGTATATATGAACATTCATACATATGTGTACATATAGTTTTTCACATATTGTTTATCCTGTTTTTTCCACTTTTTAAATTTCCTTTGATATTTCCTATAATAGTAAGCATTAATGACTCCATACTATTATGCTGAATGGTTATTTGAAAAAATATTTTTCTAAAACCCTATTGCTTAGATTATTTTCAACTTTTCATTATAATGAACAATACCACAAAGAAATCTTTGTACATATCTAAGACAGCTTCCTTAGAATAAATACCTAACATCAGAATTATTCTGTAAATGTGCATGTAAAAATTTAAGGCTAGCCGGGCTCGGTGGCTCAGGCTGTAATCCCGCGCTTTGGAAGGCTGAG